TTCCATTCTCTAACAATATTCTTGCCAGGAATCTGGCAGTAGAGAAACACGATGTTCCAGACTCTGCCTCATCTCTCCAGCTCGTATACTTTGAAATATCAGCTCTTACACTTTGAAATATCTAATTTCTGCAAAGATTGAAACAATAGATCTTTCTCCTGCTATGAGGGAAGGGATATCTTCCTCTTCCCAGATTACACCTAAAATTCATTCATTTTGGTACAGACTATTACCCGCTTTGATGAAGGATTAGAACACTATTTATAGTAGGTGCTTAAAGACCAGGCTTCCTGAACCCGTGGAAAACAAATGCGCCAGATTTTATTCTTTTGTTCTTTTAATAAACTGTCCGTGAGATTCTTCCCCTCCCCTCCTTTCCTGCTGGTTTACTTGCATTCTTATATGTTCAGTGTTTTTCTCTTCTGTCTTTGTTCCAGTTTATCAGCAATTTACACACAGTTGTTTCCCAGACTCCATGATTTCGACAGCAAAAATAACACTGACCTTTTGAGCCCATGAGCAATCTTGTTGGTGGTAATTTAGCAGAAAGTTACACTAATGAACAAGAATGCTGCTCTTAAATGTTAGATCATTAAATGTGTTTTATGAGTGTCTATTATTTCTTTAATGCACTTCCTGTGCACCACGGAGACAGCCATATTCCAGGGAAGTATGAAGTTTTTAATTGACAGAAGTGGTCCATTTGTGAATCTCTTCTGGTTTAAAGATATATTTGCAGGTGTGATTTAGTCAAAGCAAGCAAGGAGGATTTTTTTATAGCTAGAAAGACAATAGCACTAACAACAGAAGGACTCTTCCACAGGTACGTTAACTCTTTGAAAACTGTGAGCTGGGCTTCTCCTGTGGGAAGGAAGGAGGCGAGGAGGGAGGGGAAGGTGACTGGAAACATTTCACTCCCCAGACCTGGGGCTGGTTAGGGTCTGCTTTGGTCTCAGGCATGCCTGAGAGCAGACAAAACGTATTGTCAACAACAAACTTCCGCAGTTTTCAGCCACTTCCCCTCACCCAGCCTTCAGAACAGCAGGAAGCCAAAAGCAGATGACACAAAGCCAACTGGATGAGGTTTAGAATTTGGCTCTCCAGCTCTGTAGGTGATTGTACCTGTGGCTTTTGCAGAGTCCATGGGAAAGGCAGGGAATCTAAATGCAAACCAGAGTTTTCCATCCGTATCAAAATGCTCAGCTCGGCTTTGGCTTAAGTTTATGTACAGACCCATTTCTAAAACTGGTAAGAGTACTTATAAAGATTTAAGTAGAATTAGGAGAAGAGGTCTTTGTCTGTAATCAATGTAAAGGCAAAAAAACCCCACACCCAAACCCAAAGCCCACCAAAGTTAAGTGTTATTAGCAAGAGGTCATAGTACAAAGAAGTGACTTTAAAAGAGAGAATGTTGGTTTTCCTATATCACAGCACCCTAAAAGCTTGTTTGTCTCCATGTATAAACCAAAGCAGGACAGAAGGGAAGTTAACCAACTGTCTTGCTTCTTTGTGCAATATATTAAGTGGCATGAAGGTACTGGTTTATCTTCCCCCTATACTTTAGACCTGTCTCCTCTCTTACAACTTTTATTATGCTAATTACCTTTCACTGCCTGTCTCTTACGCTTGAAATGTTTTGAATTAGGTGTGTTCCAAGATAATTGCTTTATATCTCCGCGTGAAACAAGGGAATCTGCATCTGAGGTGAAGCAATGTAAAGATCTATTTCAGTGATCTATTTTGCGGTACAATTAAGTCTTTTATTTTGTGGCCACTGGAAAAGAACAGTGTACAAGGTCATTTTAAAGGGTGTTGCAGCCTCTAGAAAGCAAGCCTAGAGTATCATATGGCCTTGCAGGACATATCTGGGTCCACGTCCACCTAGATCCCTTGATAGGTGTTAATAATAAGCAGCATGACCCTGTGGGCAATCTGAGGCAGTTACTGCATTAGGCACACAAGTCGTTCATTTATTTAGCTGCTCTGGGGAACTCTGTGTGACCAGTTTCAAGGAATGACGGGAGAAGAAAATGTCTGGAAACATAATTCGCATGACAGTAGCAGGGTTTGTAAGAAGCTGGGTGTTTCAGAGGGAGTGTATGTGCATGCTACTAATTTAGGAAGGAAAGACAGAAATTCTGCCTACAATCCCGCCTACTAGCTCTGATACATGATGCTGTTCAGCCTTTGCTCCTATCTTGAGCTACAGTGGAAAGATTTTGTTTGTTTGTTTAAATCTTTTCTTCGGTCTTTCCCAGTTTTAGCCTGAACTCTAGATAGTTGGCTCTTAAATTCAATCTCCAGGGTGCTTCTGACTAATGCCGGGGTGCTATTGTGGGGTTTTACAGGAACTCTTGGGAACAGTCTTGCAGCACAGAGTGTGTGGACCAGTATTATCAAAACCCAGTTTTAGCTCTGAGATGGTATCTGTGCAACACAGGGTTTCAACACCGAAGCATACAAGGACTCCTTTCTGTACAGATTACACTGTGTGGTCCTGACTTTTATATCTGACTTTCTGGACCACCCTGACTGAGGGCAATAGAGATGAAAAGCATGCACACTTCAGAACTGTTTTTAAAGAACTTTTGTTCCGTAAAATACTTATTTTCCTCTAAACCAGTTATTACAGCCTGGGTTCATACCAAAGTGTTTAGCTGTTTCCCAAAGTAATTACTTGGTCCAGGTAATGCAGAACTGGGAAGAAATTTAAATACAGAGGTTTGAAGAAGTCAAAACCAGAACTGGGATCTGGATTTGAGCATCATACTTATCAGATAATTGCCGTGACTGAGGGGGAACATTCAGACTTAAATCCAAGCTCTCTAATATGCTTTGTCTGGGATATGGAAGGCATCTTCCTTTATTAGGTTACTTTCCTGCTCAACATTAACATTTCGTGCTTTGAAGGTTTATTGTGTTGGCTAGAGTTATACCTTTATATATGTGTAGTCCCTATGGAATAGCCTGATCCCCTTTCATCGTTATTAGTAATTCTAGGCTTGTCATTTCCTGTTCACGCAGTCTGGACCTCACTGCATTGTTGCAGGATGGTTGATACGGTGCGCAGGAAATGTACTGTTTTTTCAGGTCTCGACTGTTCCTGGGTATTATTTTCAGGGGCTTCAGTTTTATTGCCATGAAGACCATTTCCTACACGGAGTACAATTTACTAAATTACAAACAAACAAGGCACCAATAGAGAAGTCAGTGAAAGTTCACACTAAGAATAGAAGCTTGAAGAGAAAAGTTCAGTTATGTGACCTTCTTCAGGAGCTGGATACAAAATAGACCTGCTGTTTTTCCCTTTAATTTGCAGTCCAGGCAGAAAAGCACTTGAGCAGTTCCCAGAGAATCCCAGGCCCTTCTGTTTGTTTCTACAAATCCTCCAGAAATGCATTATCTGTTGACATCCTGAGTATGCTGATATGGAAATGAACTCACTTGGTCTTCTGATTTCCCTCCTGTATTGTCAGCTGATTTTTGCATTGATCTCCCATTCTGCAATGTTTAAAGAGCTGCCAGCCACGAACGGAACAAAACGTTACTGATACGAACCATTAAAATTGGCCATTACAGCAAATTAGGATCATCAGATGAAAAATACCATGTAAGCATCAGTCACAGCTTACGAGTGCCCTTCAGAAATAGGTTTGGGAAAGAAAAATAATTCCTAAGAATAGGTTTTTAGGCCCTTGGTCATGAACAGGGAGATGCTACACTGATGAGTACAGGGCAAACACTTACAAAATGTACTAGCTATCCAGACTTTTTAGAAAAGTTCCTGCTTTTTAAATGATGGGAGTTTTTTTCTTCTCCTTCATATTCACCATTTTTTGCTTTATAACATACTATCATCCCTACTTTTCACTTATCTTGAAAATTCCCCCAAAGATTAAAGGATTTTCCCAACTGCTGTCTAAAGGAGTGAGCCTGCTCTTTAGCAGTTACTCCAAAGAGTTCCTGCCCCTAACAAAGCAGCAGAATAGCGCGTCTGCCCTGGTGCACTTGGCATGCAGAGCATCGCTGCAACTTTTGGGGTTTAAAAGGGTGGATTAGAGCAAAAGAATCACAAATCTCAAAATGCCCTGATGAAACCAGACTATGCCTGGACACTTTCTGTTTAAAGTTAAATATTAGTCACTCTCTCCCTGACATTCTTTTTTTTATTTAGCCTAAAAGGCTTAATATTTAACTCAAAATACCTAACAACTGCAGACGCTAAGTGCTGAATGTCATTACATCCTCCAGAAGATACACAAAGCAGTGCTTCAAATTGGTTGTGATATATTTAGAAATCTGTAGCCATCCCTGGACTTAGTGCTCCATTTGAATGAGAAAACCAGTTACCCTGTTGTGAATTTCAGTCGCATTTTGAAGCAGAAGGCATAGCCAATAGTTCAGTGGGAATAACTGATTTAAATAGGGTGTCCATTTCATACCTGCAGAAGAAATATCCTTTCTGCAGATGCACTTTTTTTTTGTCCCAGATCAAAGCCTTAGTTTGTTTGATCCTTTTTCTGACATGAACTTTGGTTTTGGGATGAATTTCCAATTATATTGGGCCTCAAATCCATGTTAAAGACAAAATTATTTCTTATTACTGGGATTATTATTACTCCTGTTTATAGAGTCTTACTGCAACTAAAATGGACCTGCATTTATCTGTGAAAAACATCGCTATCTTATGATCTCTTTCCTATTTCTAAGCCTTTTTGTTGAATGGTATCGTTATAAAAAGCTCCTGAAGATGTTCGGCTTTTAGATTAGGTATTTCTGAAGCTGGCAAGTAGCCGGCAATGCCCACATCCATGCCCCTTTAACCCTTCGGGGCACCTCAGGGTTCGCCACCAGCGCACAGGGCACACATCCCACCCAGCCCCGCGCCAACCAGAGGGGACCGGCCCTACTGCTGCCGCCTGCGCCTCCGGGGCTCCGACCCG